CATGTAACGATAAATTACTCGTTCCAAATATTATAATGTCATTATATGTTAATCATGAATCATATCCTCAACCATGGCAAATATTAATATGTACTCCATCAACTACTTTGGAAGAACTTTCTATCTTCACTAAACGATGTTTCTTTGCAGCAAAAAATGGATATGAGAATTATTTATTTTGTATTGCTAATTTAGAATTAGTCGAGTTTGAACTACAATATCAACTTGTTAACATTATTAGATCAATGAGTGAAAAATATGATAAATATTTATTGGCTCTCATATGTTGTCGAGAAACTGGTGTTCATCATCATATCCTGGATCAATTTTCTCAGGATGTTCATACAACAAATGGACTTGATATGAAATCCATGAAAATAATATATCAAGAATTATGCCCAAACGTTTTTTGTGTGACATCAGAATTTTCTGGTCTAGGAAAAACTGAATGGATTAAAAATCAAAGTTACGAATTAAAGAAAGCTCCAAATAGCTTTTTAATTAATGATGATGTTGATTTTAGAACATTGGTTAAACGATTTAAAGAATTTAATATTCAACCATTTGAAAGTTTACATCTAAATATAATATCAGCAAATCATCCTAGAGACGTCAATATGTTTATATTTGAACTATTAACTTTAGGAATGGTCGTAAATAGTATCGATATAGCTCGTTTGCTCAACACTACTATATTCATTGAAATTGCTTCAACCGCCGATCAATATTTGTTTAACTCTATACCAATAGTTCATTGCCTTGCGAATACTAATTTGAAATGGGACATTAGAAATCTCAAGGTATCCGAAGAAATACATAGTCCTATTCAGATAGTTTGTCATTACTTATATGCTTATGAGAGAACCATAGATACTAAAAATCTCTTATTCCATACAATCGGGCCTGATGCTACAAAACCTATGTCTGATGAAGAATGTCAAGACCTCATTAATAAACATTTATTTGATAATGGCACTAGTAAGCAAGACATTACATCATTCAGATTTGTTGAAATATTCGTTAACGTCTTTGCTGATCAATTGGTTCGTTTATCTTCAAGTCAATATTTCCAAGTTGAAAATTTAAAAGTCATGATTAAAGAAAAAGAAATTAGGAAAACTTTACTTCGAACTTTATTAGATGTATCTAAAGATTTTGCAACATTATCATTTAAAACTAAAACTGCACAATTAGAGTCAACAACACCTTTAAATAATGATAAATTGGCAACCATAGTTAATTGGGATGATTCAAATCATCTTTTGGTATTTTTCTTATCACAAATACCAGATGCTATTTGTGCTTTATATCGTGATGAGAAACGAGTTCCTGATAATGTTAAGAGATTATTAAAAAGTCAACATACTGATAAAGATAAGAAATTTCAATTGGAAAATTATAATACTATGGATACAACACAATTATTGGAAAAATTGGAACGTTTGGCAAGAAAAACCATGCATAAAATTAAGTATCCTCGTTATGCATTATCGGCAGATAA